ATAGTTTCAAGCCTTTAAAAATCCCACTAGCTTGAACCCCACTGTGATCATACACTAAAGTACGGTGGCGTCCAAAAGGGAAGAAGATAGAGCAAAAGAGTCGCCAACAAGTTTTTAAGGAACTTGTAAACCGTTCACGAGGTGAAGGTTACACCCCTTAACGATCCAAGAGATCAGCAACTCCATAAGGTCATGAACCAAAATAGGGTTCGGGGATGATGGTACAAATCCAACCTAAAAGAGATTGAACTTGCCCTAATAATAGGTCTCTACTTTATTCTGCTCGTATTCATGTGCGCTTTCTGACTAACATACAATCAATAGGATTAACCCTAAACCTGTTTAATCTATGTTGGTTGAATTTAATGCACACATAAACTATTATTGGCGATCACTTGAATTATAATCAAAGTTAACCTAACAAGATTATTAAATAGCGTGATTGCAAATACAAATTCCCTTTAAACATGCAATAAAAGGTGTGATCAAGCAATAAATAATACATAATCAAGCAACATAATAAATAATCAACATCATTAATAATAATAATATCAATCATAATCATGATCATGTTAAAGCATAGCAAGATCCTAGGCATGATACTAACAAGATTAATAACAAACCCTAGCATGTCGCTAAGCAACAAAAATCAAATCTTTAGCCCTAACATGATACTAACAATCATAAATATTAGGAAGAATATAGGAAGCATCGTACTTTTAATCATACTTGATATTAAAGATACCCTAGACATGATACTAGGAATCAAAATAACAATCTAAGCATGACTTCTACATCATAATATCAATTAATCAATTAAAGCACTTACTTGGATGCCTCGTACCTCTTTCTAATAACAAAATACACACGTTAGTAACTTCAAGGAAAATAATAATCAAAGCAATAATTGAAATAGAGATTTGGGACCAAACCCTCAAAAATTAAAACCTTTCACGTCTAGGGCGAAGGCAACTTCGAATATGGCTAGGTGTTTCTAGATCTTGCGAATGCGGAATTATTTATTTGAGAAAAGGCTAGTTTAGAAAAGAGAGAGAGAATAATCAAGAAAATCTTGATGAGAGTTGATGAAGACTTAAGAATAAAGAGAATTGGTGAACGATAGATGTAGATGATGAAGATAGTTGGTGAATGAAAACGGAGTTTTTGATACGATATTTATAGAGAAAATCATCAAAAAAAGATAATTTAACAAAACAGAGTCTGAAGACCACAAAACCACCTTGTCGCCAGCCCTGCCTAATTGGCGCCAGGACCAGTGGCTAGCGCCAGGCGCCAATGGCTGGCGTCTTGCGCCAATCCTGATTCCAGGCGCCAAGGCCTGGGGTTGGACGCCAAATTGGATTTCAACGCGTTTTCAAAAATCTGATAAACTTACCGTACTGGAAGATAAAATAATATAATTTCAATCGAAAATGCTATTTGATCTAATTAAAACTCTGAAGAGTCCTAATTGAATTAAGAATGAAAAGAACCTTCTAGAATGTTCTAAAAGACTAAAATCATTCCTAATTGCATTAGGAATGATAAATTATATTAGGCCCTCCTCTAGATCATTAGGCCGTACTTAAAACTCAAACCGGACCCAGTTTAGTAAATTGGCCATAAATTCCTCAATATTCATCGGAATTGGGCTTATAATATATCGTTGGAAAGGTATTTGCAAACCCCATCCAACTATACCATTATTGGACCCATATCATGGACCAACCAAAATGGATTGACTGTTTTCTCAAAATAAAGTTTTCAAAACAGAGAGAAGAGAAAAGAAATAAAACTTTCCGCAACACTAGACCTTTCCACACTTTCGTTTCATTCGATTATGATTCGACGTGAAAGGCACTCATCACCGGGTTTGGTTTTGGGGAGACACAAATGGGTGTCTACAACATGCTAAAACTCATAAATTTATAATCTTTTATAATTTAAACATACTATCAAACCATAATAATATAATTTAAAACAAAATTTAATTAAAGGCTGAATCTTTAAGCAATTTAATGGAGATAATAAAACAATAAAAAAATTAAGGAAGAGAGAGAGAGAAGAGGGGCGAACGGGCAGCAACAAAGGGTGTCGGCTGGTGGCCGGTGGTGGTTGCAGGCGGCGGCAGGGAGGCGTCAGGCAGCTTGAGGTTTTTTTTTTTTTTTTTTTTTTTTTTTTTTTTTTTTTTTTTGCTTTGCTTTGCCGTGAGAATTGAGGGAGGAGAAGGAGTATAAGTTTTTTTTTTTTTTTTTCACGTGAAAGAGAGGTGAGGGTTTTTTTTTGTGTGTGTGTTTTATTTAGGTTTTATTCTCCTAGTTTTATTAGGAGTGAGTTTTGGGTAATTTGGGTTTGGGTAAGAATTAAGTATTTGGGCCACTAAGTTAAGGAAAGACCTATAATTCTAATAAAAACTTAGTAGTTTTAACTTATTAATAAAGAAAATTATATTGCTTTTACATCAAATAATCCATACTTATAAAACTAAAAATAAAATATTGTATAAATAATAAATACTTATATTAGAAAAATATGGGGGATTACATCTAGCTTTCGTGGTGGTAGTGGATTAATTGGTGGGTTTTGAGTTTTGTGGTGGTGGTGGTTTAATTTGTGGGTTCTAGGTGTTGTGCTGGTGGTTTTCGGTGGTCGGGTGTTTATCAGTGGGTTTTGGGTTTCAAGCGCCAATAGTGGTTTTTGGTGGGCTATGGGTTTTTTTGGTGTTGGTGGTGGTGATTCTTGGTTTTGGGTTGGGTAGTTTGTTTCTGATAATTGTAGATTGGGAAATTCTCTTTGGTAACACTATATTTTTTAATTTTCTCAGTGGTAAATTATGAAAATTCTTATTATCAGTGGTAAACTTGAATTTTTTTATATTAAGCTAACCATGACATCAATGATAAATTATAGTTAAATATTTAACTATAGTTAGTTTATTCATTTATTTTATTATTATTATTTTACTTAAAAAAAAATTATTTTTGTAAACAAAAATAAAAAAAGCCACCGTTCCCCCACCAACCAGCCACCACTCTCCGCCCCCAGTCCCCTACCCACGCTGGCGCCCAACCCCCTTTTGCTGGCGTGTCGGCCTCCCCCCCTGAACCGATAGCAGCCACCACCACCTAGATCGCAACCAAACAACTTCCCCACCCCACTTACCCTGCTGGCGGCCAGGGGCCACCCCTAGCCGGAGACGCAAGTCCTCCCCCACCCCACCTCCTCTCTTCCCCCCCTCCCCGACGACCCCCCACCCTTGTTCGCCTAATCGGAAACCCTAAACTCCACCCTAAAGTCCTAAACCACCAGAAAAATTAGCTAAATCCAAAGCATAACCCTAAATCATCACCAACATTTCTTCCAACAAATTAATCTCACCATCATCAACCTTAATCGCTGCAAAACCTTTAGAATCTGTTACAATTTGGTAGGGCAAGTAGAAAGAACCGATATTTTGCTTTAAAAAGGAGTAGGATTTTCCAACTAGGTCACGAATTTGGGCGTAATTTTGTCGGGATAACGCGCGATCAAAGAGGATCCTTCACCGATCAAACAAATTCCAGATGCGATTACGTGATCAAGCGAATTCCAGCAGATTTACACTTCGACAATTCGTTGCTTGCGATTGAAAGCGAAGGTGGGTCTAGTTCTAAACATTGCAGCAGTTTTCTACAAATGAATATTACAGTAGGGTGAAAGAGAGGAGGTGGGGCGGGGGAGGCTGGGCGTCGTTGTTCGGGATGGGGGAGGCTAGGCGTCGCCGGCCATGGGTTGGGCGTCTAGTCGCCGGCAGTGGTGCTGCTGCGTTCTGGTGGCTAGGTGAGGTGGTGAGGGGTTTGGGTTTTATATTAACCATGGTTAGAGGATTTATGTTAAAATAGATATTCTCTTTGGTAATCAATAATTTAGGTTTACCAGCGATAATAAGATTTTTCGCAATTCACCACTGAGAAAATGAAAAAAGACAGTGTTACCAAAGAGAATTTCCCTTGTAGATTTAAAAAAAAAAATTGGATTAATACTTAAGTAATGCCCTTATATTTCAATAATCATGTTTATAAACTTTTGCCTTAGAGACCATGCTATCCCATTTGTTGCAAATAACAGTTGACAAAGGTAATATTAAAAAAAAAAGTATTTAAATGCATTTTTCAAATGACATACAAAACAAATATAATTTAATGAGAAACGACAATGTATTTTGTTATGAAAATAATTATGAGCACAATTTTGATTTATTAATAATAATTGAAAAATTAATACAAACAAATAATATTAAAATTATTTAAACATTAACAAATTACGTGAAATTACTCATTTAATATGTGTATTAATACATTATTTAAAATTTGCATGTTATGATTCTCATATTAAATAATTCAATGCTAAATAAATTTCATTTTATAAATATTTTAAAAATAATTTTAGTTAAAGATAAATTGAGCTAATTAACCCCGTTGTTTTAAAATTAAATCCACCTTTATATATGACAAACTGAAAGCCACTGATAAAAGAAACAAATATGTGGTTGTAGCTAGTTAGCTACCCTATAGATAAGGAAATAGCAATTTTGTTCAATATATTTGAACAATAAAAATAAATTTGAGTTAATAAAAAACCAATATCTAAACTCGTAAACTTAACAATAAAAATAATCATTAACATTATCTATATCGACATATTTGACACTTAATTGGCCAGGTTTGTTTTGTTCAAAATACTAATTCATTTTCAAACACAAAAGGATGAGATAAATTCAAATAATAATAATATAAATTAACATTGGTATAAATAAAGCAAAAATAAGTTTTAATACTCTTGTAAACAAGCCAAATAAAAAAAGAAGTTTAAAAAATACAACTAAAATTGTCTCATTCTCAATTTTTTGGCGCACAAGTTAATATAAATATAACAGGAGAAGACTTCCTAGGATCACTGCTATAAGGAGAGGCATTGTGATCAACACAAGCACTAGTGGAGGGGAAAGTGATGTGAATAATATGGGAGGGAGAGAAGTGTCTATTAATTTAGGAGAGGACAATGAGAATGGAAGTTTGCTTTTGCTAAATGATGAGGATGGTGAGGGTGATGATGCAGATGACACATACAACCCAGATGATTACATGGAACCTGAGACAGATGATGAGAGTGTTGAAGAAGAAGAGATATTTGAGAAAGATGATGATGTGCCTAAGATTGAAGATAGTTATGATCCATTTGAGGATCTTGATTTTGAGTGTGAGAACGATGAAGATAATTACTTGACCAGGTTATATAACAATGGTGAAGTGTACAAAGATGAGGGATTTGGGAAGATTGTGCTTAAAGAGTGGCAGTTGTTCACTGATAAGCAACATCTTAGGGATGTTGTTAGAGATTATTGCATCCAATGTGGGTTGCTGTGATTGTGGACTATGCTAGCAACTTAAGGTATGGTGCTAGATGTTCAGATGTGCATTGTGGCTGGAAGTTACATGCATCGGTTCTTGCAGATGGTATAACATGGGCCATCAAAACCATTCACAACCCAGAACATACATGTCAAGGGCTGGACTCCAGAAATAACATGGTGAATGTTAGATGGGCTAAGAGAATGTTGTTGGAAGACATCAGGGCAAATAATGATATCCCTGCCAAGTCTCTGAATGATTTGCTATTTCAGAGATATGGAGTTCAGATGGCTCTCAGCACCTTGTACAGGGTCAGAACACAAGCATTGATTGACATTCATGGTGGCCATGATGTGTCATACAAGGATTTGCCCACATACTGTGATGTACTCAAGGAATTAAACCCAGGCTCTGTTTCTTACTGTGCATGGAGAAAACCAAGTCCAGAGAGGCCAATTCAGTTCAGTAGCAATTTCATATGCTTCAAGGCTTGTTTAGATGGGTTGACAGCTGGATGTAGAAGCTTAATTGGAGTAGATGGGGCTCATCTGAAGGGTAATTATGGGGGAGTGTTACTCTTTGCAGTTGCCTTAGATGGAAATAATGAGATATTTCCAATAGCATGGGCAATAGTGGGAAAAGAAGACAGTGATAGCTAGAAATTTTTCATTTGGCACCTCAAGAATGCTCCAAAAGACTCAGGCAGGGGTGATGCATGGTGCATAATGTCTGATAGGCAAAAGGTATGAGTTTCTTAATTGTTGATTGTCCTATTTTGTTCATTATTAAAATAAGAATTTGACATCTGTCCTAACACTGGTTCATGTTTGATGTTCAGGGTATTGATGTTGCCTTGAATGAGTTGTGGCCAAAAGTGGGAAGAAGGTATTGTTGTAAGCATTTGGTGAAGAATTTTAAAGTACAGTTCCCTTCCCTGGACTTTTGATGTTCCAACTATTTTGGAAAGCAGCTGGGGCTTACAACCCATTTACATTCAAAAAAGCAATGGAAGGCCTAAAAAAAGCTAATAAGAATGCACTTGTATGGCTATCAAAAGTTGGACCACAATCAACTTGGTCAAAACATGCATTCAATCCAGCAATCAAATGTGACACAAACAAGTCTAACTTTTTGGAAAGCTTCAATTCCACTTTAGGAGTTGATAGATACAGACCAGTGTTGACTCTCCTTGAAGGTACTTGTTACAATTCAAGAAGGTTAATTTTCTCATTGAATTTCATTCCAGTTATGTACTTGTTCTATGAACTCATTGCAGGAATTAGGAGGCTAACAATGGTGAGGATGGCAACAAGAAGGGAGAATTGTGAGGGATGGGTGGATGATATCTGTCCTAACATCCTGAAAAGGATGCAAGTGATAATCCATGAGTCAAGGAGTTGCAAGTGCCTAAAATCTGGAGAGGGTGAGTATGAGGCTTTGGATGGCAAGTCAGTTCTTCCTGTGAGCCTTAAGGAATTGACTTGTGCCTGTAATGCATAGCAACTGTCAGGCCTGCCCTGCAAACATGCAATGAGGGCCATACTACATGCTAATGATGACCCCAGACAGTACATCAGTGAGTGGTACTCAATCAGAAGGTACAAGCTCACTTATGGAAGCTCTATCAAGGCTGTACCTGATGTAGAACAGTGGCCTGAAACTCAGTACCCAGAATTAGCCCCACCAGCTATGGCAAGAGGGATTGGAAGGCCTGCTAGAAACAGAAGAAGAGAAGAAGGAGAGCAAGCTAAAGGCAAGAGATCTAGGACTGTCAGATGTAGTAAATGCCAAAAGTTTGGGCATAACTCACAAACTTGCCAAGGTGGCTTGACTGTGAAGGAGAAGGCTGCATTGGGTCATGAATCAGGTGCTCAGGCCAAGAAGCAAACAAATAGGAAGTCAAAAGGGGTTTTAGCAAGCCAACCAGACCCTACAACTGATGCTAATTCCTCACAGCCCATAAGGATGTCCCCTAGGACTAAGAAGGCAAGAACAAGAGTTTCAGCATCACAACCTGTTTGATCATGTCATATTCATCTCAATAGTCTAGTTTTTTTTTTGAGCATGTATTAGATGATAGTGGCACTGTGGTATCTTTTTTGGACATGTATTAGTCTTAATGCAATGCTATTTTGGACAGAATTGTTTGATATGTGATAGTTATGGTCTTTGAAGTATATGGAATATATGTGCTACTTGTTATGCCTTACATTCCTTCAATGCTATTTTGGTCTTTGAAGTATATGAATATGTTGTTCAAGCAATGCTATTTTGGACACAGATCAAACAACCATTGATAGAAATGGGAATCTTATTCATTAATAAATGGATACATTACATTCCTTCTTCAAACATAACCATAACCAAACTACATTCACTAGTAGAAAAATTGCATTAGGCAGCCCCCATATGGCACCGGTTCAGGCCAAACCAGTGGCCAAAACCGATCTAGAAATGGGCGGGATTTTAGAACAAGAGAAAAGGCACCGGTTTGGCCTGAACCGGTGCCAAAAATGTAAAAGGCACCGGTTTGAACCGGTGCCAAATGAACCGGTGCCTAATTCAAAAAAAAAAAAACCCGCCTCTTTCCTTCTTCCTTCTCTTTCTCTTTCATTCATTTTCGCTGCTTCAAGTCACTGCTCTATTCGTTCTCTTCACTGTTCCATTCTCGAAACCCCTCACCTCACCTGCACTCTTGCCGCAACAGTCGCCAGCCACCATCACCGCCGCCACCCCTGGCCTTCACTTTCTCCCCTGGCATTTTCTTTCTCCCCTGCCGTGGTGTTTCTCCCCTCAGCTCAACCCCCTCTACGCCGACCTCATCTCTTCGTTTCCTGCGCCACTGCCCTGAAGGTCGACGCTGCACCACCGCCCTGCTGAAGGTTGCCGCCGCACCACCGCACCACTGACCACCGCACCACTGACCACTAAAATCTCAATTTGAGTGTTTTAGGTATAATTTTTTTTTATTCTCAATAATTTCCCATTTATGAACTTATATTAATTTGTTTTGCATGTTAAAGAATTGTTAGGCAAATTAAAATTTAGGTTAGAATATAATTTTACTTCAATTTGTTTCAATAATTGGTTTTTTTTATTGGAAAATTGTGAAAATATTAGAAATTAGTAACCTTGTTACTCATTTAGTTGGATATTAGTATGTTTTAATGGTTAATTTAATTTGTTTTGATGTGTAATTTTGAATAAAGTAGAGAATATTAGCCTTGTTACTTAATTAGTTGAATTTTGGTTTGGTATAATAGTTAGAGATTAGTAACCTTTTTAGTTTAGCAATTTTGAATAAATAAAATGAAAAAAATTAGAGATTAGTAACCTTTTTAGTTTAGCAATTTTGAATAATAAAAATGAATTTTGAACAAATTTAAGTAGTGGATACATAGTTTAGCAATTGTTAGTTCGATGAATGATGTGTTTTAGCTTAGAAATAAATTAGTGAATTGACATGTTATGAGAAGTACATACATAATATTTAACCTAATTTTTGTTTTTTGTTTTTTTAATATATAGATTCATATGTGAATTGAAGCACGAGTTTAATTAGCTTGAGGACTACATATTGAGCTCAAGTGGGTAGTTGCTATATTGGTATGGCTTATAAACTTTACTTAGCTATATTTCTTTCTATTTATCCATTTAATAAAAGTTTATTCATGAAATTGCAACTTGTGTATTGTTTAATTGCAAATAAATACAACAATATATAGAATACTTGCATCATCATATGCCTAGATACCCGTTCAAGGCTTTCTCATTAGGAGAAAGTCTTGAATAGTCCCCGGTTGGGACTGTTCTTGAATGTGTACTCTCACTTAGGTGGTGAATGTATGTTTTCTTTTCGATTTTAAGGAACATCTTGGCTTACCATTTCCTCACTATGTTCTCTGGGTACATATGTGGGTAATTAATTATCTACATCGTGTACTTGGAGAACTAGGGGGAAATGATGCCGGATTTTCCTTAAAATTGGAAAGTTGACATACATTCACTAGTGAGAGTAGACATTTAAGGATGGGTTAGGTTGGAGTGATAAGGACCCTTTGGAAACATGCATTTTTTCACTATATGAATGGTATATTCACGTTTTGTACTTGAATTTGATTTACATAAAATATGTAGCACTTACACATTATAAATTATATGGTGCTATATATGTTTAGAGACAATTTACTAAATGGAGAAGGATCGTGGTTGGATGTGTGGTAGACGCGATACATTGGAATTTTGGAATGGGGTTCAAGAGTTTTGTGAGAGGGATTTAGCTTATCAACGCAAACTGGGTGGCAAAGGCCTTTATTGTCCTTGTGTTGATTGTAATAATGTGAATGTGGTCGATAGTGTTGAAATCATTAGAGATAATGTATTATGTCGTGGGTTTAGGCAATTATACCATGTGTGGATTTGGCACAGAGAAAGTGGAGAGTACAGTGGGGATCTTGATCAGAATGATGTGCGTGTTAGAAGCAATGAGATTCATGTGGACGAGGAATACGAGAATGATGACTATATTGTTGATAATGGTGAGGATGGAGCCGATGATGATCAGGCGGATGAGGTCGAGGATGAACAAGTGGATGAGATGTTGCATGATGTTGGAGGTGAAGTGTTTGAGTTATTATCGGAGGCTTCCAAAAAGCCTTTGTATCCCGGGTGCAAAAAATACTCCAAACTATCGGCCGTGCTAACACTTTTCAACATTAAGTCGAAGCATGGGTGGACGGACATCAGTTTTACTTCTTTGTTAACCGCATTAAGTGATATGTTTCCTGATGGGAATGAAATTCCGAAGTCTTACTATTACGCAAAGAAGCTCATGTGTCCCTTTGGTTTGGAGTATAAGAAGATACATGCATGTCCTAATGACTGTATTTTGTATCGAAATGAGTATGAACAACTGTAGGAGTGTCCACGATGCAAGCGGTCGCGGTATAAGCGAATGAGTTGCAATCCTGGCACGGAGGGACCTCCTGCTAAGGTGTTGTGGTATCTTCCCATTATTCCAAGGTTTAAGCGTCTGTTCTCAATACCAAAAGATGCTAAAAACTTGAGGTGGCATGCAGAGGGAAGAAAGAAAAACAGACGGCTGAAGCATCTAGTTGACTCTCCACAGTGGAAGAACATTGATTTGAAGTTTGAGGAATTTGGTAATGAAGTCAGAAATTTAAGGCTTGGGTTGTGCACGGACGGGATGAATCCATTTGGTACTCTTAGTACCCAACACAGTACATGGCCGGTACTTTTAGTGATTTATAATTTGCCTCCTTGGCTGTGCATGAAACGTAAGTATGTAATGCTTTCATTGCTAATAACTGGTCCTAAGCAACCTGAAAACGACATAGATGTTTACCTTGCGCCGCTTATTGACGACTTGAGAAAGATGTGGGATGAAGGGGTTTCTGTTTTCGATGCTCATCAGAACGAGATGTTCACATTACGTGCAGCCCTTATGTGGACCATGAATGACTTCCATGCATATGGAAACTTGTGTGGGTACAAGGTCAAAGGGAAAAAAGCATGCCCCATATGTATTGATGACACATAAAGCGTATACCTGACTCATTCTCACAAAGATGTCTACCTACGGACTCGAAGGTTCCTTAGGCGTGATCACCCGTACCGTAGGCAGAAAAAGGCTTTCGAT